CCTGAGGCTCAACCTAAAAAGGGAGAAAAAAATCCACGGCCACGTGAGTGGGCCGCCGCTCTGGTGGCATTGGCTAAATCACCTGTGGCGGAGAGACCGTAATAGGTTATGAATATGAATTTCACAGGGCATGTGTAGAGTGGGTGCCGGTAGCCTGCACATCACCAAAAAACGTGTTTGTCGTGTTTGTAGCGGGCCCCCTTACAGGGCTTTTAAAAAAAGGCAGCCCCGGCGCCGACATTTCACCGATATGTACGAAACTCGGTAAGGAACATGTAAGGGGCGGTCCGTGGCGTTGCCGGTCAAAGTTTGGCCAGGTTGAATCGAATGTCCAACCTGTGATGCCATTTCCAGCATTTTTAAGGGCTTTCTGCTTTTAACTAAACTCCCTCCTACAGATTTTGTCAGATTGACTTCAAATTCGATCACTGTAATCTAGAACACATTGTGATCAAAAGTTTTGTATACTTTGACTGCTACATTTACCGCGTTGCCCGTGACCGACGTGTCGAATTTCCCCGATTGGCCATAAAGCAGATTTAGTAACTCAATATCTTTCCTAGTCCTGGAACCACGTGCTCACAACTTCAGTGTACATGGTCCAATTTTCTCAATGAACTCTCAACGTTTGAGTAACAGGGTCCACCTTGAACACGTCTACATGACAATATGCAGCTTTAAATTTTTTTTGTTTTTTTTGTTTTTTTACAGTTACACAATTATTAAAGGTGGATGAAAGGTCAGATCATTTACGCATCATAATTAACCACTGACCATTGAACTAACTAATGGGCATTATATTCTGTCAAATGTATCCATCTGGTCATTTTAGTTTAAATGTGCTTTCAAAGAGACAAATTACAAAGGGCAAGGATAAAAACACAATTTCAAAAGGATGAGAAAGTGGTTTCATCCGCAATGAGAAAAGTTTGGCTCTCACTTCAATACACAGAGAACATCAAAGGAGAGAGGTCACTAATAACAATCTTATCTGTGTTTGCTGTTTCCAACGATGGGAACAAACTTATCTCCCTCTTGAAATCACTTGTTAAGGTCATTTGTCATTTAACCACTTTCTTAAGTGCACAATGACAGAAACTATGCTGCAGCCTTGCCCTTGAGGTTTGTACTGCCCCTTTTCAGATCACAATCTGAAATAACTCGTATGCAGAGATTACACAAGTATGAGATCTTCTCCACTTAGAAATTTGCTTGTTTTTTTCTTCAACAAAACGTGACATTACCAAAAAGGACAGACAATTACTTGAGTCAGATGGTTACACCCTCTGCTACAAACCCTATCTGGGGCTGTCCTCACCACTTTGTTCACTTGTCCTAGTTTGTGCCCTCCAGTCTGCCAGTCAGTCAGAGCTTTTTGAGCCAAGCCAGTGATGTCTGTCTCTACACGGTGACGGGCATCATGAGAAAGAGCTCTGAGGAGGACATGTCGCCACACTGGAAGGTTTTCCACATCAGAAGGTGGGAAACGTGACACCAACTCCATCTGGAAATCACCATCAAAAATCACCTGATATGAAGGTTATACCCTTGTAGGGTTTAATGGGTTGTTTGTAATTATATAAACACAACCAACAAGCATCATCCAAAACCAGAAAGAGTCCTAGACTCTAGAATAACCATTTTCTGACAAATAAAAGGAGTAAACCCAGTAAATGAAGGCATAAGGGGTCACTGAATGGTACATGAGCATAAACATCATCATATACTATGGCCTAAGGGTGCTCCAATCGGCTGGTAGCAATCACCAATCACCGGGTCTATTTAAAGCCTGATGTTTGTAGTGTGGCTTATTTATTTTATTTTATTTAATATTCCTAACAACAGTAGTATTAACATAGAATCAGTTAAATATCATTAAGCCGAATCAGCTGATAGTGTGGAGTAAGTTAATGATTGATTCAGCTTAATGGTTAAGTATGATTTTAATTCATGTTTCTACATGTAACACTAATAATTGTGCAAGTAAAAATATGACTGTTCAGATCGCAGGTCTTTTATATTAAGGTCAGTTCCAGTTCTGAGCTCTGTGGGTGCGGGCGGATGCGGGTATGCAAAACTGGACCTGTGCAGGCAACATGTTCAACATGACAACTTAAATCACAGCCTATTCTTGGTTATTGGTGGAAGCTTAGAGTTTCCCAGATAATGACAGTGGAACTGTGGTCTATTTCAATAGCTCATTTCTTATTTCACCATTTTAATTCTACTTGATTATTCCACCTTATTTCAGTGTTTTGTTTACTCACTGTGCCCCACCTCTTTCTGCTCCTCTCCATATATAGGCTGTATGTGTCTGTGATTCTCTTTTTGAGTTAACTTCAATTCAAAACTGTTTGGATGTGCATTGACACATTAGTTCTCAGGGTTTCTAACCTGGTGGTTCGGCGTCATGAGGAAAACCATGCGTTTGAGCAGCAGGCCCAGGTGGAACAACTGGTAACACTCAGTGGTGCAAGCTTTCACCTGTAGGAGAAGAGGGAGAAGCAGAGAGGAGGTGAGGAACAGTGTGAGTGTCAGTGTGAAGGCTCAGGAGGAGTAAAACCACCAGGGCATCAGGGTGGAAGGAAGGTGAAAACCTGAAAGAGGGGGACGTGTATGGACATGGAGTGGGATCCAGTGCAATTGGATGACATGACGTAACAGGTTATGAAAAGGTGGCCCCAAGGTCTAACAACACCAATTGTCACCTCTGTTGGGGTGCCAGTGAAAGCAGTGAGGACCCCAAACTAATAAATAACCCTACAGAGAGATTAAGGGGATTTGGAGTTATTTTAGTAAGAGCACAGGAAGAGGTCAGACATGAAGAAACGTCCATGACCTTGTGGTGTCTATCAAAGTTTTAAAAGTTGGGATAAGATACTGTAAACCTCTACTGCAAAATATAACAAGTCAACAATACGAAGGTCTACTGAGCATGTCTTTTGTATTTCCATGTATTGTCCTGATCTCTACCCACCAGCTGAGCAATGAGGACGACATGATGTAGACAAAGTTCTGCTGTCCCATACCTGTAAACAGAGAAAATCAGCAGTGAATTCAATATAGTACAAAAAAAATGTATGTAATGCTTACAAGACTTTGGTTACAGAGTAGCTGTAATAGGTCTAAAAGTGCCTGAAATGTAGGGTTTGTGATAAACTGCAGCATGAAAAGATTGCCCTGATCGAAATACATCTGTAGTGTGTGCTTTTTTATGCAAATGATAAAGGTGAACACACTCTCACCGGGCTGTAAAGCACCACACATCGGTTGCCAGTAGAGCTGTCTGAGTATCAGCCTGCAGTACAGCACTGACCAAACAACGTTCCTGAGAAAGGGAGACAAAGAAAGGAAAGTCAGAGAGTTATATAAGGAGGGAGAGGAGAGGAGAGTAGGAACAGGATGCCAAAAGAAGCATAACGAAATGAAACCTAATAATGAAAGTGAAAGCATAAACTTCTATTGAATAACGGGAAATCCTGCAACACAACACAGCTAATGGCCAGAATGTGATTAGATATCTAAAGTAAATAAACGACTTACATGGGATTTCCAGCCATTTCTTTTCATTCTGGGACATCACTAGTGTTCGCATAATTCACACTTATTTAACTTAAACTGGCCCTTTATGCAGCCCCTCAGTTAATCCTCTGACTGAAACAAGCCAATATGGACTAAATTTGATGAATTTACTGTTAATCAGACCACAAGACAGAAATGAGTATTACTAATATTAGTAGTAGTAGAATAAAGAGAGAGATATTAGCATCCCCAAACACCTTCAAAGGCCTCAAGTGTTAAAAAGGTAGACATGTACTGAAGCAGAATGGATGAGAAAGAAAGATGAAAGCCGTACTGTGCGCGTTATTGTTTACTCAACGTCTCATCCCATTCAACTTGTGAAATCTGGAAACTGACAATTCATTCTCAATTTATGGCTAAAAACCTCACAAGTATCATCAATTAATTAATTGTCCAACCAATTGTGAAATATAATAATCGGTTCTTAAGTTATGGCCACAACGTTTTTTTAATGCAAGGTCAAAGTGAGTCAGTTTATCCTTGAGTCCAAGCGGATGTTGTTTGAAGAAATTCACCCAAGGGATTCCTGAGATATTGCGTTCGGAAGAATGCTAGGACAGGCAGATAGACAGACAGCCCGAAGGCGTTCCAATACTACTGCATATCGTTTTTACTGGCCTAAGAAAACACCAGTTATCATTAGTAAAAGTCAAAAAGTCAAACTCGTGGCAGGCATCCATTTAGAGATGGGGTTGAGGTCAAGTCGGGTCCTTGGCACGTTTCATCGTAACCCTGCTGTGAGACAGTCAGGCCTCACAGCTTCCACCACCACACCCACGCATAAACACTGTTTGTTTTAAACATTCTTGATTGTCTGCAAGAAAGCCTGCCAATCTGCTTCTTCCGGGTAAATAAAATGCAAGAAGTTTCTGTCAAGACGCTACTGGAGTGTCGCTGGGTTTTTATCTACTGCTATTATTACTATTACAATTTTCTTTTAAAGAAGATGCACAAACTTCATTCCAGAGGTTGGAAGATAAAACACAATGACAGGACATATATGTCACCTCAAGATACAACAGGACTAGGTTAAAAGCTAATAAATGGCTGAACCATGTATGGTCTGAAATGTGAATTTCTGGATTTTAAATGTTCATCTGCAAATTTCTGTGGTGGTCCCAGTACTATTTGTTCTTAAGGTGTACTGAAGTAGCATATCATATATTGCAGTTGCAAGAACATTACTTTCCACTCATATCTTAAGATTCGCACTTATTAATTTTAAAAGAGCAACGGCCAGTAGCAACCGACCAAGAGTGTAACTTCATCACTCATTTAGTAAGTCTGTAATTAAGTAAAAACCTAACAACCCCCCACAAAACAACAACCAAACGAAGTTAAGTCACCGTCTCAATCAATCCCTAACTCTAATTGTTTGTCAATCAAAATTCCTATCCCTTCTTTCAAGCACATAAAAATGAACAAACTTTTGCTTCCAGTGAGGGGAGTAGGTAGACAGATGATGCCTGAACCAAAACATAAATGATGGAACATAGTCTGAACATTATTACTATTTCAACTGATATGATACAGTGCATGCAGTTATGTGTGTAGATCTCACCAGCATGGGGAAGTACACTGGGGGAAGTGCAGCCACACTGGCACAAAGCTGCACACAGATGTGGTGGTGCAGGGTGACCTGGACCTGGGCCTGACCCTTCATCATCACTCCTGGCAACAGCACCGGTACCTGACGCTCAGTATAGCATCGCCTGAAAATAGTGAACAAGGCCTGGTAGAGAGGAAGCCTGGAGACAGAGGGGATAGAAAAAGAAAAAAACTTAAGAAGCATTTTAGACACATTTACACATTAGCTTAAATTCATACCGGAATAGTATAATCTTTTTTAGGACTACTGGATGATGCATACTATTTTAATTTTGCATATATATTTATGAAGAGAAGACTTAATTAATATTGTAATTAATCCTAATTATTTTGCACACTCAATATTTCAGTGTGAAATTTTCTATCTCACTATCTCCAATACTTTCTTCAATGTAAAATAGGAAAACTAAAGTTAAAAAAAAAATATATATATATATATATATACACAATTCATCCACATCAATAAACAATATTCCTGCTACTTTGGTAACCAAAAGGTAATATCTGGGTGCCAGCCTGACAACAACTTCTAAGTTAACTGCTGGTCCCTGTATTAAAAACAAATGTTTAAAACAAAAATCAGTTGATGACAACAACAAGACCCCTAATTATTACCTGGGTGTCTCTTCTGAGAACTGGCTGCCAGTGTACCAAAGCGGCAGCACCTCCTCTGGTTGGGAGGAAAGCTGACCCAGGACATTTACTAGTAAAAGACACTGAGGGAGCTCATGCTCAGGACTTAACGCTGCAGACAAACAAGACATGGGGAATATTTCAGTGTCAGTCAGCAGCTAGAAATATGATGCCAACATTCTTTTGAATAAAAACAGTAAATATTTTACCAAAGATGCCACACTTTCACCACAAATTTAGCTGATTAGACGTTTTGGAAGTAAAGCAGCAAGCATGTTCAAACAGTGTGTGGCAATCAATGAGACTGTCCAACTGCATACTATGTATTATATTAATGATCCAATTCACCTGATTTACAGGTGCGATTTATGTATTCCTACTATACCAGTGTTGATGAGATAGTAGGCTAACAATGGGAAAATGAAAAAATGAAGTGTTCACTACACTGTCAGAATTAAATATAGTATGTTATGTGAGGACAAAAAAAATGTTTTAATGTGGCTTACTTTGGGTGTTGCTTTATTGACTAATAAACACCTAAATAAACTGTTTATTGAATAACACTTCCAAAATAGTGCACATTATTTGTACATACTTTATGGCATTGGAATGGGGAAAGGAATTGGTACACACCTAATCAGTGAAAAGCTTATAAAACAGTTAAAACTATAAAACTGGGAGACAGTAAAGCATCAATCAACCCTGCCACAGTATTTGTAAATAGGAGGAAAGCTTTAAACTCACGCGGGTTCTGCTGGAGGACAACTTCAGCGAAAGGCCTTAAAGGCAACAGCTGGAGCAGGAGGGCCTCCATGGGAACCAAAGCTGCTGCTTTCAGCTCCTCAGACAGAGCCGAGGGCAGTGCTGGAGCACACATGCTGGGAGGGAACTTACTGAAAGACATCAGAATGTCTGTTTGCGTACTACTCAATAACTGTCAACTCAAAAGGACAATGTAGTCTGAATTTGCTTCCTAAAACCACAGCCAAACCACACATACCTGATGATCTGGAGGTAGAGTTGGTGAAAGCAGCTACAATACTTTGTCAGAAAACATTTGAATTCCTGTTCAAAGGACAAGGAATGATGGGATGTAAGTTCAGTTGCTTTGTGTTCTGAAGTAGAAAATGAAAAATGTAACAACAGGTGTAATGATGGGTTTTATGAAGTTTTATAGAGTCAATAGGGTTGGAAGAAGATCCTAATTGTTAGTACCTTTATGTAATGAACCAAAGTATTTGCAAAAAATCTACACATCTTTGCACTTTTCTGGAACAGCTTGTATTCTGGGCTTTGTGTATCCTCCTTAAAAAAGAACAAAAAAGCATTAACAGCATTAACAGAAGAAGGTGACAAAGATCAAGTCTAACTTTGAGTGTACACTAATAAACTAATTATCTGATACATAGGATACAGTGCAGAAAAATAAACCTTACAGGTAAAAGATGCAATAAATACTATTCAATAGCCCTGCATCTGTAAAACTGTAGGACGTTTTTAAAAAGCTTTAAATAAAACATGTTTTATCTTTTCCTACTACCAGTCAGCCCTTTCCTACCTGCAGACCAGCATGTTTCATCTGTTCAGCCAGCTCCACACAGTTGTGGAAGGAGACCAAAAGGTTGTCATACAAGCTGCTGCTGATGTCACAGTGATGCAGATGTTCCTCCACCAATGACTGGTACTTCAAACTCTGTCTGAATGGAGTAATGACCTTTTAAAATGAGTCAGTAATCAAATGTACAACTAAATGTATAAACTCCTATAACAAAGTGATTCATCTGTCAACATGAATGTTTACTCTACTGACTTGATGAGGAATTTCCATGTGTTTGCATGCAGTGCTATGTCCAGGTTGGAGATAATAGAGCAGATATCCAGCAGGCTGTGAATCACTGAGGAAGATGAAAAATAACTTCAGTGAATTGAGAGAGTGCATTAAAGGTCTATGTACAACAATGGATGGGACGCTTCTGTCATGTATATATACACAGTGGCAAGAAAAAGTATGT